GAAAAACCGACTCCTCCCCAAGAACTGTAAAACCATCCTACTCTCCTGGCAGGTCCGGATCGCCCACGTCACTGAGGGCCACGTCCGGTGCTTTCAGACTCGGGACCGTGGGCGCCAGCGGCAACTTCAGATCCCAGCGGTGCTGCCGCTCGCGCACGCTGCCCAGGTTGAGCCTTTCCAAGTGACGCCGCTCCTGCCAATAACGTGAAGGCTCCGCGGAAGAGGGTGGGAACCAGCTACAAAGTGCCTATGGCCGATATATGAGAGAGAGCTCTGAGTGGCTGCGAAAGGGGTTCAAAGATGTTCAACGTATCTCAAGTGAAGTATCTTGAAACATCTTGAAACTAAAACAGCTAGTCAAGTCGGCTAGTAGTGATTGATTGCTACTCAGTTCCTCTGAAAACAGGTTTGAAAACGGATCGGGCACACCAATTTCTTTGAAGAGGTGCAACAAAAGCCTACCCCCAACGACTCAGAAGATTTCTCCTTGGGCTGTAAATAGCGTGAGTAATTCCCACTCTAAAACAACAAATCATGCTATACCCAGATGCTGCCTTCATCCATCTTCATCCTTCTCTGCCCACCTGGATGCACTGACACCAACAAGTCTGACAGTGACAGCGTTTGCTACCAACACCTGGACTCAACCGACCAGCTTGGCCCTCCTCAGGCGGGGCGGTGGCCAAGTGCTCTTGGACTCTTTGCAGCTCTTTGTCCACGAAGTCCTGCGGAAACGACGCAGAACTGCACTCTCATGGAAGTGACATGAAAGTGGAGTTCACCCCCTGTTGGTACTGGAAAATCCTCTTCCAAGGGGCCATGCCATCCACTTCCATGTTAGTGCCAGGGAGTGGTAAAAACAATACCAACGAAAACATCAAACAACCACTGTTGACTGTTGTTTGCTTCCGAACTTGAAGCAGGACATCAGGTCGACGGCGCCCTGCTCACTCTCCCATTCTCATGGCTCGAACGCTGTCTGCTTGGAACTGAGACAAACATCTCTGACTGAACCCTGGCGGGGTTCATCAGGGTGGAGCATGGCGGGTCTCAACTTAGTTCAAGAAATCGAAACATCCCGATCGGTATGAGGAGACCCCCGCCCGGCCCATGGGTTGTGGTGACTGTTGTGGTCTATTTTCACTCTTCCAGGGGGTTGAGCTGGGAGGTCTCCCACGGTCTCCCTATTGGAATGCACACCCGTATTGCTTTCAACATCGGCTCTGGGAAGGCCAAGTCGGTCTTTTTGGTCAGTGTCTTTGGAGGGAAGGCTTGCCACATGGCTACCTTCAAACATCTTCAAACTACAGCGCCGCTTGACCGCTAACCTGGTTGTGTAGTTGCAGATCCCTGGGCTATTATGACAGGTTCATACACGTAAAAGCAGTGGAGCACTGGTTTCAGCAACAAAACATAATCCACACATCTCCTGCACACTTAGCGAATAACATATAATTTAAAAATAAAAAACACCCTAAAAGTCGAAACAACACAGTAAAACCTGGTCCTCTACCTCCTTGAGTAGTGTTTGTGTATGAGCAAACTCTGAGCAACTCCAGCAAAATGAGGTCAAACTGACCTGTAGGTATTACAAGATTACCAAAGAAACACCTGCGGCATCTGACCCATGCGAGCGCGCGCTGGCGCTATGCGGCGAGCGCTTCGGACCGGCCTTCAAGCACTCACAAGCCTCTGGTCTTAAGACCTCCCTCACCATGGCACAGCCATGAAGCTCCAGGTGTTCGACACCTGAAGAGTCTGTCTGCGAAGAAAGCTCTGCCGGTCCGAAGAGGTCTGAATGAGGTCTTCCATAAAGCAAGTCCTCTTGGGAAGATCTTCAGCTTTTCGACGAAATGTTTGGGGGGCGGAGTTGGCAAGATCCATCCGCCATCCTGTGTATATTGAATGTCTCGTTTGGATCCTGGAATCTGGGCCCTTCACAAGGGTACTGGTTTCGGTCCTAGATGGTTTTTGAGGCGTGCTGAACAAATGCATCCTTAGCTGGATATTAAAATCATTCAAGTCTGGTCTGCATAGATCACAACCAATGGTTGCTGAATTGACTGATCCCCATGAACGAATTGACATCCAAACAACCAGCCGGATGCAAACAGAAGCTGCCAGACGAACACAACACTTAGTGGCAAAATACAATGTTCCAGCGCAATAGGAAACAGATCCATGTTGATGGACTTCCCCCCCTACGCCAGTTGCCAGAACAACGCACTTCATCCAAGGATGACACGGGACTCTCTCAGTGCGACAAATGGTTCATCAACCCATCATGTTTTCCAGTGCCCCGCACGGAAAAGAGTCGGGGCCGCCAAGAACGATGTAGATCTTTGGATATGGGGTCAAACCGGGGGGCAAGGACACCATGTCATGTTGCGTGTCTGACTGACGTCTAAAATATTGTCAAATATCCTGGCCATGACCATCCAGCACCCACAACCAGTTGGCTTCCGGAAGAGAGTCTCACACGGGGGTATCTTTGGACCCAGTGATCTTCCGAAACATCATTCCTAAAGGGTGTCACATAAGATTAACTTACAAACTAAGCCCATCACCAATCAGCAAACCCTCAATGCATCATGTATATCCATCGCGAAATACCCGAAGATGGACAAATCAGTTTGACCAATGCGATCAGGACACAAGTGTCGGGCGCCACGGCCACATCTTCGACGCTCATGGGGTCCAATGGTGCCCAGCCGGCCACCTCGAGGTGTTGTTGAACAAATTGGTTGGGTAAACAAGGGGGGTTGTCCGGAAAGCAGCATGCTGAGGGCTAGAAATGGCTAGAAAACCCTGCGTTTTACAGGGTTGTTTGGCTTTCGGACCACTCAACTCATCGTCTTGGAGTTCATGAACTCCAAAACGCTGACTTGAGTTGATTTTCAATACATCATCAGCTGATCCTACGCATCATGCACGTAGGCATCAGCTCAACATCCACATCTTTTGACGCATCAACGCATCATCCCCATCATGTCCGTAATGCATAATGCAACCAAAGTTGATCATCTTGGCCCCACCCCCCACCCGCCCCTCAGCCCGCCGGGAAACAATCACACTTCATGTCCGTAGCGCAGTTCATCCTACGCATCATGTCCGTAACGCATCGGCTCATCCTACGCATCATGCACGCAGCGTATCAGCTCTTCATCCGCATTATCATCATCAGCGAAGTGGATCATCTGCGTCCCATCTGCGTCCCACCAAACCATGTTGGGTCATCGGAAAGGTGGCCTTTCCGGGCAACCCCCGCGTTGACCCAATATGTTGCAAGCATGATCAGTAATCAGTAAACCAAAAACGAGGTTAGGTGGTTTCTCAACAATGAAGCAAATCACATTGCGGGATGGAATCGGACAGCTGGTACGGGCCAAATCGAGGATTGAAACGTAATCCAAATCATAATGGATTGCATAGTTCATTGCTGACTTTTGCGCCGCGGAGCACCACTTTGGACCCCAGTGAGCACTCCCAACTTACCTGTTTTGTTGGACACGAGTGGGAACTGGGCAGCACATGGGGCGAAGGCTTTGCTGGCTTGGCCACTTCGGTCTACTGCAGTTCGCACCCGTTTTGCGACCTACAGGCACTCAAGTCTAAGTGGATCTATCTTCATGGATATCCAAGTCAAGCATATGCAGTGTGATTTTGGATGGTTATGGATTTAGGATTTGCTCTCCATGCTCCTCCCCTACTTGGGATTCTGTACGACATGCACATGGCCACAACACTCTTCCATGCCCAACCAGAGCCCAAGATGTCCAGAGCTGTTTGGCCATCCAGTACACCTCACCTCTGCCTCGTCGCGCCAACCATCTTGTTGCACGCCCGGAAAGGCAGCTACCTCGCATGAGGGTCCTATATCATCGACCGGGCTGCAAACAATGTTACTGAGCTGCATCGATGCATCTAGGGTTCTTTTCACTCATCGATGCATCAACTAAATCGACCAGAAGCCCGCTCGCGGCCCAAGCCCAAGAGACTGATCACAAGAACCAGGCTGTATAGACTGTATAGATGACCCCAAAAAGGATCGATTTGAAAAAGAACAACGCACACATACGCACACACTCCTAAACCCAAATATGAACAATACGCTTTGGTTCCTTTTTCAGTCTCTAACTGGAGGGGTTGAGCTCCCATTGGCTGCCAGTTGGCTATGGTCAAGTCAAGGAAGACGATGAACACATGTGAACAACACCATTCCACCATCCAAACATCAAACAATGTCTCCTCTACCCAGCCAGTTCTGGACCCCATGCGCTACAAATCATCCTTCTGCCAGTTTTGCCCACCTGCGCCAGCGCCGCCTTCACCGCCTCCCGTGGCAGCAGCTCCACGTTGGCACCCGCTGGAAGCGACAGGAAGTCCGCCATGGCAGCGCCGTGGATCACACGGGGTGCGCATGCGTTGGTAGATACGGTAGATCTGAGTGCTCCCCATGCATCCCCAAAGTCACTGCAGACTGGATTCATCCGGGATTTGTAAGAACGAACTTGTGCGGATTGTGAGGATAGTTTAAACTGACAGGGCCACTTGTATGCAGCACGGAGTCCTCACCACTGGCCTTTTTCGGTTTAGATCTGCAGTCTGTTGGGCGTAGCATTAAAGGAAATCCTTACTCCCACGAAGTGATCTGCAGTCTCTGCACCGTTCGTTCTCCTGGCACAACCTATATATATATATATAAACCTATAAGGTTTTCTCGGCTGCAAGCCCGTAGAGCTACCGAGTTCATCGTAGAGCTACCGAAGCCGAACAAAGCATGGCCACTCTCAGCTGACCTGGGTGAATCCCGTGTGCCTGCTCATAGAGCTAGCGATTCGCCACTTCGCTTCAAAGCAAAAGTCCCTCCCAACGATTCCCCCAAAAAGGCCCAAACAATATAATATGTCATACTTCAAGAGAAACGACAGAAAACCATCCCGTATCCCATCCAACATCACATCCTCCACCCTTTCTTCTCCCATTTGAAAAGAGCGCACCTGTGGATCCGCCCAGTTGAGGGCTGCTTGGAAGGTCAGCCCAGAGGCGGACGCGTCGTTGGAGGTCTGTGGCCAAAAAAGAAAAGACACACGCATCAAAAAGCTGTAAGCTTGTTTATTCCCTTTTTCTTCGGCCGTTGGAAAATAAAACATACTGTATATAGCGGATGCAGTAGTAGTTAGTTAGGAACACATATTGAACTGACTATATAGTTGACTATAGTTCTGTTTTATTTTCTTATATTGGACTGTATTGTTCTAGGTTAGGTTCTCTTTATCCTGTTTGATATCCGAACATGCAACTATATAGAACAAACCAACACTGGGGACTGGAGGAAAGGATTGCCTGGGAAGAAGTCTGTAGGAGTGGCTACTTGAAATGGCTCATCTTGCTGAGCTATTAGCCATTCACGTAGCAAGTCGGGTGGTGCCAGGAGCAAAACTTGATCAGCGTTCTATTTGACTCTCAAACAACTAACGGCGGCGTATACATATTGCTGGATTATATATCATTGCCAGGGGGCCACCAACAACTTACAAGGTCTTCCAGGCCATCTAAGTACAACATATATATATATATCCTGTTTAAAAGAAAACACCACACACAGTATGCGGGGTTGCCACATAGTCAATCAACACCCTCACAGAAAGGAATGATTAGTCCATGCGAATGATGATTGTAACCAACTTGTCAATAGTAATTAGCTCCCCCAATATGAAAAAGGCTCCTTCAAGGAGGCAAGCGGCCGGAACACGTCAGCCCCGCATACAGGATTTCATGGACATTGCTCTTTGATACACCTAATTCTGCACAGCAAATACAAATCATTGTACTTTTATTTTAAAAAATATTCGATTCTCAACCTAGAAGACAACATCAACCCACCAAAGGGATCCATCTGAGAAGGTGATGTTTTTGGAATGTTTCTCGTTCCAACAGGGAACCAAAGAGACTTCTCGGTCCCACCAGCTGGTGACCATTCCAAACGTCCCAAACGCCGTCAGCAGCTTGGTCCCGCCTGTTGCTCCAAGCCCCAAACGATGAAGACATCCTCAGTTTTGGAGACCATGAGACCGTCCCTGTCGAGGTTTGTTTTTGTTTTGTTCTTCTACGATCCGATTCTTCTTGGAGAGCCTTTCGCAGATTGATGCTCTTCACTGTGCAGTACCCATTTCTTCTTCCACATGGCCACCATGCACTGGATTCGGCTGCGACTAAACCGATCTTTTGGCCAAATATATGATCAACATGAAGCCGTCCTTCATCTAGCGGGGAATCGGCTGCGATTCGGCGACGATGGTTGACAAAACAACCAAAATAGCCTCCATTTGCCCTCGTTAACTCGGATTTGCTTCTTTGAAGAACGAGTGGTTACGAAATAAACACATGGTTCACAAGTCTCAAAATACGTCATCTGAATGGCCTTTCTTTAAACACTCTGAATACACGACTACAAGTAGTGTGTTTATTCAGGAAGCACTAACTAGCAAGGCCAGTAGGGTGGCTTGAATGATGCTAAATGACCTCATCACCTCCCAAGGATTGCAAATCACGACACGAAAACACCCTCTTGCACATCTGTTCTTTCTTCGAGTCTCCCTCCTTCAATCCTTCCGGTCACCGTCCTCAGCGAGCCGTGGCACGGTGGAGGGGACCGCGGTGTCCATGCTCACGTTGCTCGATTGCCCGACGCTGCCAGGCACCGTGAAGGAGCCTCAGGAGCCGCAGCGAGGGGAGTGAGAACAAGAAAGGGCGATCGATGCACAGTGAAAGAATCGAAAGGACCAGAACGGACCACATAAATAGAGAATATAGAACTCAGGATCGTCCGTCTAAATGCACCAAACGCACGAGCTGCACGGCGCGAGAAATGGCGAGACAGTTTGGCTAGTAACTATAGTATATATAATGTATAACTTCAAAAGCCAAACGTAACATTTTTGCAGACCCTGCAGCAAAGATTGTCTACTAGATTCATGGCTTGGAGCGTCCGGGGCAGCTGAAAAGAATCAGATTCTTCCATGTTCTATGTCACTTTTGGGTCAGTCCCGCAGGATAGGTTGGGTAACTTAACTCATATGTATGTGTATATATATACCTAGAATCTGAGTGATGAGTGGCCCCCGTTTTGGAGCCAAAACATGTGTCTTTCCCTATCAAAGCAAAGGTCAACCGAATTCTGGGCTGTTTTATAGTCTGTTGCACTCATTGCCCTCATTAACCATCCCTTCCACACATTTTCTTTGATCAGCTTCGGTCTGCATTGTCTGCTATCCAATCCACAAATACCAAATATCCATTGAGATGTCCATAGATATATAACTCACTCACTGGGACAAAAAAGTCCCCGTCAACATGTGTCAAACCCATTGATCCATATATTGATCCCAGATCTACCAAATTTGCTTCTGGATCACTTCACTCCGTGCGTCGCCACCCGACCATTCGCCTGAGCGTCCCCGACCAAAACGTTGCCAGCCGCTGGGGCGCTTGCAGCGCCGGGCATCGCAATAACCTGAGGGAAGCCAAACGGGTGCTGGCTCAGCCGGGTGCAGGGACTCTTGTGAACCTGGTGCTGAATTCATGTCGAACTGAACTGGGGGATTTCTATATGCAAATCAATATATACACACACATTTATATTGATACTCATATTCACACCTGTAATATATGTGTTAAGTTATTGTGTATTATTATCTATTCATCTATTCGGAGTTTGGCTTGATTCTCGCTTTGGAACTCCTGTCCTTCTTCTGTTTCTTCTTATATGTTAATTTTACTTTTTTTAATGTTGTTGTTCTTGTCGGCTTTATTATTGTCACTGTACCACTCCTTATTATGTTTGTTTAGACATTTTGTTAGTCTTGTCACTATTATTGTCTGTACATATGTTTCCACCCACATATTCTTCTTCTTTTTCTTCTTTTTCTTCCTCCTCCCCTCATCTCTTATAGTTGTCTTGGCTTCTTGCTGTCGTTGCTGTTGAACCACAGGGCGATGAGCAAAGAAACAAGGACAAGGAGTCAAACAAGCAGAGAAAACATAGACATCAACATAAGGACCAACAAACCCAGCGGCACAAGGTTCATTGGGAAACTGGGAAACCTAGAAACACCTCATGCACGATCGCTCCTCCGTGTCTCGGAGGGCGCTGGAGGATGAGAACACACACTGCCTGGAGAATGTGGTGCATGAACTTGGAGGACGAAGTTAACGTGAAGAAGCTGTTCTTGTGAATCCCTCCTGCATGTTACCAGCTGACAACATCCACACTTACTGTCGACCCTTCAGAGTCTTTCCTGACCTCGCGCGGCCGTTGAAACGGTCCAATGAATTTACTGAGATCTACAGCCTGCTGCATTTAAGTGCCAGGCAGGATCCCCTATACGTTTATATATATATATATATAAGCCACAAACGATGAGCATCATAGGGCTCTCGCAGTCCTGCCTTGTTAGACCAGCTGAAGGTCGTGAGGGCGGGATGAGGGTGGTGAGGGGGGTGAGGAAGCACTAGGAGTGGTGAAAGGTGAGGGGGTCAGGTTTGAGGATGAGTCAGAGTAGAGATCCCTGTCTGATGTACACCCACCTGACTGTGGCACTGTCCCAGAACCACTAGACAAGGAAACTGCTATAGTTCTTGACATGTTGGACAAAAACCAAATCTCAACCACTATTGTCCAACATCTACTTGTCCATTCCTGTTTTGAACATTGTTTGAGCCACATCACATCCACATAATATACACATCATCATAGTCATATCATGTCATATCATCACCTCTCCCTTTCAACCAGGCCCCGCCCCAGCTTGCTCCAGCTCAGGCACACTGCGCGCGGAAGCACCCGGTGTTCCCGTTCACCGGGCGTTGGGCCACTCGGGAGCTGGAGACCTGGGGAGACTGGAGGCCGGTGAGCACCTGGAGACCTGGGCTTGCGCCCAGTGGGTTCTGCTCCCACTCCAACAGGCCCTCTTGTGCAGTAGGCGAAGCATGCATTGGTGTTTGTTCGGATGGTATGGGGGAGTGAAAGAATTTGGGGACTCTAAAGTGGACTCTTGTGTCAGTCCAAACAAAGCATCCAAAGAGCTCAGTTGCTTGCCGGAGTTCAATCAAACGCCCCCTCCTAGACCTGGGATCTGAAGCAGTCTCTTGTGTCCAAGAGAAAGAAGTCTTCAGCCAGGCAGCAAAGTTTGACATCTTGAACTCCAAGAACGTGTCATGCAACGAGCACATGCAATGAGGTAGTCCGATCCGTCGAACAAGGAATAAAACATCGGGTGGTCGACTCAGTTCTTGCAACTGGTGAAAACCGGAAATCCTTCTCCGAAAACTCGTCCTGGTTCTCTGAAGACTCGGTCCTCCCACCTGTGATTGCAGCAGGTTTTGCCCCAAGTTCCAATCTTCGATGCCGAGCCTTAGGACAGACAAGCAACGGGGACTGGGAAGAAGAAGCAACTGGCTGGTGGCGATTGGGAGAAGGACTGGCTGGTGCCAACATAAGTTCTACAGTGGTTTCAGAGGTTCGATGGCACAGACCCCATGGTGTCCTTGGACACATGGGGGTGATAAACCACCTTTTGGGGTCCGTGCCATCTACTCTCAATCCTCTAGATATGTTTTTGTTAAATGGTGTTGAACTAACACACGAAATGGAGTTGAAATGTGTTATGCCTTATAATTAGACATCATTAGAATGGCTATGATGACTGGTGAGTAGTGATCAGAATCAAATTAACAGACTGAAGTCACCACATCTCCCCCAACCCAAACGGCAATCTCTCTGAAAAATGCATCATCTGAGACTCCCCTACCAATTGCAGTTTCTGGAAAGCTAATGGCTGTAATGTAATGCAATTATTTGTACAGCCCAAGCTGAGCTGATGGAAATGCGTTTCCTGGAGAAAAATGGACGACCCGACCGACTACCATGACTGACCTACAAATCCTCCACCAGATTGGCATATTCTGCTTCATTCAGGGCCTGTTGGATCACCCTCCCCAAAACCCATTGGTTATCACAGATTTTAAGGACCTTCTGTAGCTGAGGTATTTCGATTTATTTAGACATGCCACCATTTCTAGGCGCACACACTTGCACACACATGCACTTACCACTAGGGCAAGTAGAGTGGGCCCCTCACTGTTTGGAAAAACCGCAGACTATTGATTAATACACCGGATGATTTTTCAATCCAAATGGGGAGGGTTCACCGGGTTCACTATTGTAGTTGGACAAAAAAATTGAACTGAAGTGTATCTCGATTGTACACCTTCTAACTCATCTAGCAACATCTAACCGAGAACAACGCTTCAGCACGCGGACCCTGCAAATGTGTCTTTATTTCCACCGGAGTTTTGTTCAGTTTCCAGCTACTTTGATTTGTTTCAAGGGACGTTTGTTTCGGTGTGTTTCTACTAAAAACGCCCATCTACCGCTCGCGGCCCCCGGTCTCTCGCCCCATTTTTGTGTGCCCCTATCGCCGCCTCACATCCGTCGGTCTCTATCCGGTCTCTCGCCTTCCGATGTGGCAAAAGTTGCAAAGGCCCCCGGAAACGATCGGTCTTGTGAATTTCGAGGTGGAACAAACCCACCGGGGGCCCAAGCGGATCCTTGGCGTCACTTAACAACGGGTACCTCTGTATGAAAAACCCAAAAAAGTTCGGAAGGGGTCGGATCGGACTGATGGGGGATGATCTCTCTTTTGCGACGTTGCCTTTTAGGGCATGACCTGAGAGCTAGGGCAACTAGGGCTTCTTTGCAGCTTCACCCTGTTTCACCAGAGGTTCACTTTCTGACCTGTCTGGACAATCTCTTTTGTTCCAGCGGACCTGGGACGCCGGGCGGTGGTTCCTGCTGGCTGCTGGCGTTACTCAAGAACTCCATGGTGTACTGCCTCGGCGAAGTTGCGCAGTGCCGGGCTGTTTTGGTCCCACGAAAGAACCACGTGGTCGAGTCCGGTCCAAGTACATGCACACTCGGTCAAAGGGTAGTGCCCTTAAAGCAGGTGAAGGAGTACTCTGGGGTGCAAAAAAGTTCAAACTAGACCCCCTGCAGGCCCGAAAGTTGTAAGCAAAGCTTGCACAAGTCAAGTCTCTGGCAAATGCTACAACTTGGTCAAGTCTCGTGCAAATGCTACAGTTTGGCCAAATCTCCTGCAAGTAGATAAGAAAGGTTCGAGCCAAGTCTCTCGCAAATGCTAAAACTTGGTCAAGTCTCTCGCAAATGCTAAAACTTGGTCAAGCCCCTGAGCATCCGAGATTGAAAAGCACAAATCGCAAGATTTGTTATTTTAAGATAGGTTCTGGGTGGTATTTTGACCAATCGCAGATTGACCTTGAAAACCACTCACAAAAACCTACCTTGAGGCCTTAAAAAACCACTCCCTAAGGTAGTGAAAAACCTATCCCCAAAACCGATCTTTCTATTATTGAATGGTTCCCACAAGCACTCTGCACGGGTATCTCTTTTTCCAAATCTTATTATGTTTGCGGGGTCTGCATGGCTCTGTTTCAAACCTCAAACACGGTCATTGACCCTCAACTGGTACCCAAGAAGGTACTTTTGACAGAAGGAATCTATAAGCTTGGTGGCCCATGGCTGCAGCTATGTGGTAAAGTAGCCATCCAACCCAGCTTTCATTCCCAAAAACCTTGGGTTTTGCCACTTGGCCAAATGGGCCAAGTGATAGAAGAAGTGGAACCTATCTGTGTTAGCCGCCACCTCAAGCCATCCTGCATTTCCTGGCTTGTTCGGATGCGTCCATGGCCCTCATTTGTCAAAAAGCCAGTGAACTGAGGGCCTCTGCAATGCGCAGTGCCATCCATGTTTCCTTGGCTTTGTTCCAAGCCCCTTCCTGCGCCACAGTGCCTGCTGGGTGCTTGGCTTTCTTCCAAGCCACCAACGCAAGGACAGGCACCAAGTGGCTGAGCTCTACAGCCTTACCTTTCAACAATGGCTTTTGCGACCATGGCTTCTCACCACTGACGACCTGATTGATGGTAATGTTCGTGAACCTTTCTCCAATTCTCAAGGTCTTGTAACCTTCAGAGATCTCTCTGACCACACTTGAAACATGTGGTGCGGGCATCTCTTTTGTGGCCACCCACCAGACATTGGTGGGTTGAAGGCTGGCTCTCTTTCAAGCCTTTGGGCGTCAGCAGTTGCCAATTGAAGCCACCTTGAAAGTTCCAAGGAGATTGATTTCTCAAGTGTTTATTGCAAGTGCAAAGCCAACAGAAATCAGACTTGTTCCAATGTGCAAACCCAGCACATTTGCAAAGCATTCTAACTCCTTGGTATTGCCAAACCAAGAACGAATGGCCTCCCTCAATGATTGGCTTACTTGCCATCTTCTGGAACTGAGGTGGCAATGGCTCATTCCATGTGCTGGGATGTGTTCCATGGAACAATTGAAGGCTAAATGGAGGGTGTGTGGAGAAAGGGGGTCAGCAAAAATTGCTTCTACGAAGTTAGTGCATCAAAAATACCTTCCACGAAGTTCTGCGAAGGTTTCTGGGATTTCGTTGCGGTCAGTTCTCCTACTGGCCCACCATTCCATGAACTGTCCACGAATAGCCTTGGGTTCTACGAATGTCCCGCGCCTTCCACGATGTTTGTAGAATAGGTGTTTGCAAAACCCCTTCTGTGCACTACCCTTCCGTTTGCCTCTGAACAATGCTTGGAAACCCCACGCTAGAATTTCATAAACATGTTGCCAGTTGTTTTTTCAATGGCACGCGCTTTGGAAATGCAGCCAAGCAGAAAGCATGGTCCACAACTTGGCTTTATCAAGCCACTTGAAGCATGAGAATAGAGACAAGGGCCAAATGAGAATGTGAGGGGTGAGTCTGTGGAGAACTCAACCCCATCACGATGCAGCCACAAAGGGGTCATGTGCTTCTCTGCATTTCTGGCTTTGTCTAAATCGATTGGGCTGCCAATGAGCCTGGGTCATCTGGCTGCACACCTTCACCTGCCAAATTGGTGGACCTTGTCAACCCAAACAAGTAAGGAGGCAGGGCAGTAGCTGTCAAAGACAGAAGCTACCCAGAGATGTGGGAGGCAAACATTGAAGTCAACTATGGTTTCAGGCTGACCTTTTATTGAACCTAAGGCAGGAACCTTGATTCTAAAAGATGGGCTCTCTTTCAAGCCACCCAATCTCCCTGATTGATGTTTTTGGTTAGAAGCCTGCGCAGCGGTGCCAAGGCTAGCCAGCTCCTGCAACTCTTCTGCTTCCACACCATCATTCACTGCTGCGTGTGCAAT